AAATGTGGTCTGACTTTGTGGTCTCCAGGGCGAGATCTAGAACATTTTGGTAATGCTTTCATAATCCTCCCCCACTCTCAGGGAGGCCCCTCACACTCTCGCTGACGGTGAAAACTCCTTCTGTTTAAAAGTTCTTTTTAAAGTTGTCGACTTTCGTCTCTCCTTTTGTGTTTGTGTCTCTTTGTCTATTCCTCCCTCCTTGTTCTTTTTTTTTTTTTTTAACAGAGTCTTGCTCTGTCGCCAGGCTGGAGTGCAGTGGTGCGATCTCAGCTCACTGCAAGCTCTGCCTTCTGGGTTTAAGGGATTCTCCTGCCTCAGCCTCCCGAGTAGCTGGGATTACAGGCATGTGCCACCACATCCAGCTAATTTTTGTATATTTAGTAGAGACAGCGTTTCACCGTGTTGGCCAGGATGGTCTCAATCTCTTGACCTCGTGATCCACCCACCTAGGCCTCCCAAAGTGCTGGGATTACAGGCGTGAGCCACCGCGCCCAGCCTATTCTCTGTCTCTTGTATCTCCCCATGACCTTCAGGGTTCAGACGCTGGGTCGCCTCTCATTTCCTAAATGCCTATTCTCTTTCTCGCCTCTCCAAGTTCAGCTGCAGAGCAGCTGCATTCCTCAGCAGGCAGTGGGGGAGACTCTACCTTTCTCCTGAACTGCAGCCCCTCTCATCACCGGCTTCAGGTGGTCCCTTTGGGTTCCCACAGCAGTCAAGCTTCCTGCTCATGATTAAAGGGATGCTGGTGCTTGTGACATAAAGCACCAGGGGCAGAGGCTGATGGCTCAAGCCCAATCCCCAGGTCTCCCGGAGCTGGCTTCCCTGGCAGGCAATCAGAGACTTTGCAGGGAGGAGCCATCTCCTTTGTTCTTATGTGTTGCTTCCTTCTTCCTTCCCAGACTCATGTTAATTGCTTTTCAGACATTTTTTCTGGCAAGTGATTTTTGCTGCTGCTTGTGGAAGTGACATGGCAAGCCCACAAGGGAGCGATAACAGTGACCTGATGCAGAGCTGAGGAGGCTGGGGCTCCTATACCCCAGGTAGAAGATAATGAGGTTGAGTCACGAACAATTTGTTCTACATGGTCAGTGAGATAGGCTCAGAGCCTTCAGAAATGAGAGTGGCCTGTGGCCAAGGCTTTCCTGAGAAGTTGTTCCCTTGGCCTTTGTAATTCTGGCAGACCACCCTGGTGCAGGGACCTCAGGATATGGGAACCTGTGCACAGGGCTAGATGACTTCTAAGGTCTTCCAGGAGCTTGTGAATGTTGGCAGCGCAGAGACTAGAACTATGATGATCTGATCTTCCCAACTACCTGTCAGAACACGTAGTCGGGTAATTCAGCAACTCCCTTAGCCCAGATATTTATTCCACTTACTCTGTGCCAGGCATGGTGCTAAGCTGGAAACATAACAGTAAATAGGTCACAGTTCCCACCTCAGTTCAGCTCACGGCCTGGATGGGAGACAGACCCACACTTAGATAATTATAATGCAGCCGGGCAAGTACCAGGATCCAGTGATGTATGGGGGTTATTCTGAGCACAGAGGAGAGGTCTCAGGGGCCAGGGCAGGCTTGCCAGAGGCGGCACCAACACTACTGAGTCTTGAATAAGCAGAAATTATAGCTGGGCCAGGCCAAGGGGAGTATAGAGGTGAGGAGGGAAGAGCTGAATTCTTTTCCTGCCTGAACCACCCTGTTTAAGAGCAACATGGGGCAACCAAACCATATGAAGAGGGGAAATTGACAAGCACAAGTCCCTTGACTTTAGAGAACAAATTTTAATCTCCCTTTCTTTGTACGAGGGTCTCAAACTCAGTGTCCAGCCATCCAAGCTCTGGCCTATGGGGATCCTTCACAGTTCCTCCCAGGGGGTCAAGGCAACCCAGCATTTCCTGGGGGATGCAGATGAGCTCAGGGTGTGTGCTCATCATGTCCTTGATTGCAGCTGCGTGGGAGTTCACCTGTTACCTGTCAGGATGATCAACAGGAGCTCGGCAGTTGTAATCAGCAATGAGAGTTACACGTGTCATTAGGTTAACAGGGTAACATGGGCCAGGCCAGAAGATATGTCTGCAAGAGGGTCTCCCTGGTAGCAGCTACGGCCAGAGGAATAATAAAGGCAAGTCCGTCCCAGGTGGGCGCCTCTGCTATTTTCTACTGGAGGCAGGGGCTGAGACTTCGAGTGGGGAAATGCCGACATGGGCCAGTTTCTCTAAGGACTCTGGGGGTCTATTAGCCCCTAGGCTACATTTCTTGACTTTGCCATTGTTATTATTCCCTTTTCTAGGTGGATAGTGGGATAATGGGAGGCAATGTGGTTAAACTTTTTAAAAAAAAAAAAAATGTTGGCCAGGTGTAGTAGCTTACGCCTGTAATCCCAGCACTTTGGGAGGCTGAGGCGGGCAGATCACCTGAGGTCAGGAGTTTGAGACTAGCCTGGCCAGCATGATGAAACCCTGTCTCTACTAAAAATACAAAAATTAGCTGGTGTAGTGGCTCATGCCTGTAGTCCCAGCTACTCAGGAGGCTGAGGCAGGAGAATTGCTTGAAACTGGGAGATGGAGGTTGCGGTAAGCCGAGATCGCGCCACTGCACTCCAACCTGAGTGACAAGGGTGAAACTCCATCTCAAAAAAAAAAAAAAAAAATTATTGTCTGTATCGAAGGTATCCAACATGATGTTAATGTGATTTTATGAAAAGCAGCCTTTGCAGTCAAGTAGATATGAACTTGAATCTTGGCTCTGCCACTTCAGCTGTGCAGCTTTGAACACTTAACTTCTTTGAATGTGAGTTCCTCACCTATTAAATGGGGTTAATCATGTCTATTTGTATTTATTTCCAAAGGGTGTTGTGAAGATCCAAGGGGATAGCACATGTAAAGCACATTCTTGTTACCTTTTATCTCCCTGAGCTGAGTGTAGTGACTGCAGTCATTCATTGAACAATTATTTATTGTCCACCTATTGCTAAGCATTGTTCCAGGTTCTGGGGAAACAGTAATGAACAAGTCTCTATTCTCATCAAGTTCACATTCTGGTGGGGAAGCTTTAAAATACGTAAGTAAACTAAGCAGGATAACTTCAGATAGTGATAAAAGCTACAGAGAAAAGGAAACAGGCCCATAGGATAGAAGTGATTTGGTGGGAGGCCTGAAGAGGCTTTAGGGAGCATGGTGGTCTTTGAACCAAGACCTGGAGGCCAAGAAGGAGCTGGGCCTGCGGAGACCCGAGGAAGAGCATTCCAGGCAGAGAGAAGAGCAATGGCACAATGTGCTGAGGTGGGAAAGCATTTGGCAAGAAGGAAGATGCTTGCAGGAGCACTGTGAACCCTGGGGAGTATGGGATGAGGAGAGGAGCAGGAGCGAGGTCCATGCATGTTCCCTAACTCTGTGCTGAGGTGTTCTTGGTGCTGCTGTGAATTCGGAGGGGCTCTTTGGGATATTTTAAAGGTCAAAGGCAACACTCAACTTCTGTTGTTCTCCATGCAAACTACTAAGCAGTGCAGGATAGCTTGCAGACTCAACATTAGATTGCCCTACATTTTTTTTTTTTTTTCCTTGAGATGGTGTCTTACTCTGTTGCCCAGGCTGGAGTGCAGTGGTGCGATCTTGGCTCACTGCAACCTCCGCCTCCCAGGTTTAAGAGATTCTCCTGCCTCAGCCTCCTGAGTAGCTGAGAATACAGGCACGGGCCACCACACCCAGCTAATTTTTGTATTTTTAGTAGAGATGGGGTTTCACCATGTTGGCCAGGCTGGTCTTGAACTCCTAACTTCAAGTGATTCGCCTGCCTTGGCCTCTCAAAGTGCTGGGATTACAGGTGTGAGCTACCGCACCCAGCCTGCCCTACATGTTTTTTGATAAAACCATATTTTTCAGAAGCTATATTTTCAGTTTTTGTCATTTGCTATGACATAAAACATGTACTATGGGAAAAATCAGTATAGAATAGGGAGTGAGGGTGGCAGTGCCTAATCCAATTCCAAGGTTTGAGAAGTTGCGCGGTGCCCAAAAAGGACACACATCCCATTAGTGAGAAGTTGTGGCTAAGAATAAGATAATTTTTTTTCCTATTTTATATGCATTATTTTCTGTAGTAGCTACTAAGTTGTTAGGACAGAAATACTTCTTACTTTGGGTCTAGCTACTTAATACACAGAACAGTTAGGTATTTCTTTAGGCCTAGGGTTACTGTGAAAAAAAGCATTGAGACATTAAGGGCATGATAAACAGACAAGGTTGGAAACTCAGGGGCTAGGTGATGAGCTGTCATGAAATCTTTCTCATTTCAAGCACACAACCTTATATTGTTGCCTTTTCATAGACTCAGGGGTGTGTGTTTCTGTGCATGTGTGGGTAACCTGAAAAGGTCATCTAGATTTTGTAACTGGGAGGGTCTCCAACCTGCCTGACCATTAGGATCACCTGGGGGAACTTTGCAAAAATAGTTCCCTGGCCTCTGCCCAGGGGATTCTAATTCAGTGGGTCTGACATTTGAATCTGAGTTCAAAGATCTCCGCTCCAACTCGCATTCTTCAGGCATCCAGGATGGCCCAAATAGAGCCGGTCTGTCCAGATCCTGGGGTCCTAGTTGTTATACGTTGTGCCTGGGGCCAGGTTGTGTGGCTTTTTCGGATCCCCAGACGGGGAAGGGGCGTGGAGCACGTGTCCGTTGGAACCCTGGGGGAGGTCGGTGCTGGAAGCGCTCATCTCCACCTCCAGTCTGGGTGCGCGGCGTGAGTGACCCGAGATGAAGACGATTCCTTCCGTAGGAAGCCCCTGCCAGGAGTCACCACCTCCCAGGCCCACTGGACTCGGACCCGAGCGTCCTTTGGGGGGCGGTTTCTGGGCGTGGCGGCTGAGCGCGGTTCGGGGAGACGCCGCCGCGAGGTGGCAGCAGCGGCCCTCTGGCAGCCACGATGCGTCCCGGGGGGCGGGGACGCGCCGGCTCCGGGCGGGCGTGGTCTCTGCTGCGGGCGCCTGGGTTGGCCGGGCGGACCCCGGAGAGGGGGAGCCGCGGGGACGCAGCGACAGAGTCGGGGTGCTGGCAGCGGTCGCCCACGCCTCCCAGGGGTTGCAGGCCTGGGCGCCGGGGTTGGACCAGTCTTCCGGGCATTGCACGCCCTAGTTTGGTCTGTACCCATGGTTTGTGGCGGGGCAAGACGTTAAGTTGGGTAACACCGAGGTGAGCCGCGGTCCTCGGCACCAGATGAGGAACCACTGTCTCAATAAGGTGTGACGTGGAAAATTTGTGTGTCTATGTGTGACTTAAAAATATCTCCTTTGCTGACGTCTAAAATTTCACTATTAGAGATGCAGTCTTTTGTCCTAAAGATTGTTCTCAATTCAAGGCCCTGAGAGGGAGCAGTGCATTAGAACTTGAGGTCTTTAGGGTGAGTCAATGATTTCATCTCATCTTTGTCGGCAAGGCAAGGGTTAGCCCTCAGTGCTCAAGACACAAAGAGGACTGAAGGCGCATTAATTGGTACCTGCTAATCAAGCCTTAGAAACCAGAGCGCTCCCTGGGAATTTTACTTTAGAGAGAAAACTCACTGGCCCTGGAGCAGCCCTGTGTCGTATCCACTTTGTGAATGTTTTAGAGAGGGTTAACGGGGTACTAGCACAGTATGATTAGTTCAGTTCATTGGATTATTACTTTGTAAAAGAGGCAGCATCTTTACTAGTGCTGTAATAAATTGCAAAATTATTATCTCCATTTCCGTTCCTTATAACTTCTTTCTTTGAATTAAGAAAATAGTGTGGTAGGGTACTGTGAACTTTGGAGCCAGAAATTCCTTGCTTGGAGACCCCTGTCTGCCATCTGTTGACTGGCTCTGTAATTCTGGAAAACAGCCTTTCTAAACTTCAGTTTTCTTATCTGTAAAATGGGAAAAATGCCGCCTACTTGGATGGTGATTGTGAGCATTAAATTAAATTCTGGAAGGAAAATATCTGGTATTTGTGTACTGATTTCAGGTCTTGGTGCTCTGTGTGTAATGGTTACTGTGAGAGCTTCCCTGCAATCCAAATCTGTGTGTCTCATTCTCAGTGACACCAGTGATGCTGTTAAACAAGGGCAGTCCGGTTCATGGATTGTCACAATGCAGACTGACATCAAGGGGACCCTGCTGTCAGGTACAGAGGGCACCACAGTGACCAGGAACTGCCGTCCTTTCATACCAGGCTTTAGGAGGCTTTACCAGAAGGAATGGAAAATGCTGGTGGGCAGTAACATTGAAACGGCATTTGAGGACTGGTTCTGCATAAAACCTTAAATTCTTCAAGGACGTTGACATTTGTTTATTCTTGTAACAAATTAAAACCTATCCTGTGTGTTGGTTAGAGATCTTCAAACTGCAAATACCTTGAGGCAGGAGTGAGGCTTTATCTTTTAAAGGACAGGCCCCTACTCTCCTACGTAATGAGTTTCTAGAAATGGATGTGAGCACCAATCAATATTTCTCTGGTTGTTAAAGTCAAGAATAAAATGGTATTTTTAAGCTCACAACTGTGTAGGATGAATTCTGTACACTTTTAATTTCCTCTGTTCTCCTTTCCTATTTGAAAGCTGATTAGTTTATGGACTTGGGATCAGATTATTCATGCATTGTTTTTTGATGTTGTATGTCTCTTGGTTCTAGGGTATTTTTGACACATATTCTGTCTTGTAACCATAGTTAAACAACTATTTTAGACCAACTCTCTGTGTGTAATTGGCTTCAACACTCACTGCTAGTCCTTTGACACTCTATTTTTTCCATTCTTGAGTAATTTTAAGTCATCGTTTGGGCAGTTGAAATATATTTTAAAGTGATTTAAAGAATATGTGAGTGGCAGACATTCTGAGCTCTTTTGGTTGTCTGTCCTCAAAAACTAAACTTATTTGTGAGTAAAATTTTCATCTAAGTGTTTTCCATATCAAAACTCTGTAAGCTACTCCTCCATTGTAGTAGAGACAGAGGTCAGCACAATTTTCATTCCTTCTTTCTCCTTCCTTCCCTGCCACCCTCCTCTTCCCTTCCTCATCGCCTTTCCCTCCCTCCCTCCTCGCTTTTACCTTCTTCCTTCCTTCCTCCTTCTTTCTCCTCCTCCTCCTCCTTCATTCCTCCCTCCCTCCCTCCCTCCTTCCTTCTCTCCTCCTCCTTCCTTCCTTCCTTCCCTCCCTCCCTCCTTCCCTTCTTCCCTTCTTTCCTTTCTTCCTTCCTTCCTTCCTTCATTCCTTCCTTCCTTCTTTCCTTCCTCCTTGCCTCCCTCCTTCATTCCCTCCTCCCTCCCTTCCTTCCTCCCTCCCTTCCTCCCTTCCTCCCTCCCTCCCTTCCTCCCTCCCTTCCTTCCTCCCTTCCTTCCCTCCTTACTTCCTTTTTCTTTTGGTCGGATGTACATAGAAAACACTTAAAAATTTGCTTGTAATTTAAAAATTTCTCGGGATATTTCTGGATTTGAGCATCTCTTGGTTACTTCTACCTGGAACCTGGTGAACTGAGTCCATTTCTCTGTTTCCCCTTTCTGTCCCTTTTTGGAAAGTTTTCTTCAATTATATCTTCAGTTATTGGTTCTCTTTTGATTGTTCTAGATTCTTCTTCAGAAACATAACTCTTAGGCTCAATCTCTATTCCTGGTCTTCCACAGCTATCGTCTTCTTTTTAAAGTACTGTATTTTATTGAATCTAAGCTAGTATTTGTTGTAGGAAGCACTATTATTATAAGTACAACTAAGGAAGAAAAAATGCTGCCAATTAAACTGTGACATAATGCCATGATTACAGTCCTGTGAAATTGGTAAGTTGCTCACACCATTCTCTCTCTTATTTTGATAGACTTCATCTATTTTGAGGGACTTGGCAGTTGCTCCTGCATTTGGTTGCATTGTTTGGCATGTGACAGGCAATTCTTTTTGCATGAGTCTCAGTTACAAAACATAACACAGCTTCTACTTAAGGATACCTTCCTTTCTTGGGTCCTGTCAAGCACTTAGTTTTTCTTAAAGAAAAAAAAAATAAAAAGAATTGCAGTGGTTGGTCCAATAATAGACATTTGCTTCAGTAATATCAAATTACATCCTGCTGCTTGAATTCCATGCCTTTCTGCATACATAATAACTTCTTGTTTCAATGCCAAACCATAGTGTAATCTTTTAAAAGACATTTTAAATGGCAATTAAACTCACATGTAATTGCAACAATGTATACAACTCAATTAAAGTGCTAATAACATGAACAGCTGAGACCAAGTTCACCCATGCCCAGGTCTTGATGACCTCACCATGGCAGCTCCCTGGCCCGGGGTGATTATAAGATGCCAGTGGTTACAAGACTTGGCCTGATGTCAGAAGTGTTGATGTGGCAACACAGACATCTTAGAATTAAGGAAATAGTTTTAATTCTTGGTGCTCTTTCTTGGCATTCCGAAAGTGTTCCTCCAGTTTGCCATCTATAACGCTTTCTTAGTTTTCTGCCATGTCCATTCCACTCATTTACTGCTTCCTATGTGACTTTTAATTATGTTTAATAATTTAATTTTCTTGGGAATATTTTTCTCTTATTACAACCAGCTTCCTTTGTATCTTTTCTTGAGTCCATTGGCCAGATTCTCTTTCATAAGCCTGAAGCCCCTAATATTTACCCTGAGACTGTATTCTAGTTAGTAGAATGGGAATGCAGGTGATGTGTGTGACATATAGGACTTCCCCATAAGAGCCTTTAATGAGTTGTCCTCTGTTCTCTTTCCCCCCTTCCAGCTGAGTGCCATGAGAGGACAGTGACAACCTCGGAGGCCTCATGGTGAAGGTGGCAGAACCTTTGTTAGCCTGGGTGCTCAGGGTGGACAGCTGCTCTTGCCAACTGGGAACATCTGCCTCGAGCGCTTTTGTAAGTGACAGATAAGCTTTTATTGTACTTCTGCCAGGATACAAACATTAGATGTATTTATACAGCAGCTAAAGGTACTCTAATAACACATATTCTGAAATCGCCATGTACCCTAAAATATTTTAACAAAATTCTTGCAATATTTGTATGAGAACTGCTGGATTTTGCTTTCTTAACCAATTTGCTGTTGCTACTGGAAAAAGAGAATGAAATGATCTCAAATGAGGTAATAAAATCATTACTGAATTTTAACAGTTCCATCATTTCTGCCAAAAATAAAAAAAAAACAGAAGCAGCTTTAGAGTACCATTCTTCTCCAGTGGGTGTGTGCTGGTCTGATTTGCTCGGACATTTGCAGAGGGAAGAACACTTACAAGTAGTAAGGAGCTGAAGCCTGAGTGGATCATATCTGAATATTGTTTAATATTGTTTTGAATAACATATTTCTAAAAACTCCACTCTTTTAGCTAACTGCTTTCTCTTGATATCCTAAAAGTTTTGCTTCACTGTTCATTTTAAAAGAATCACAATTAGGTCTAACATAAACAAGGGAGCCAGCCCCCCATCACACTTTTGTAAGAACATAAAATGTCATCTCACATGCCAGTCTTTGAAGCTTATCCTGATAGCAGTTTAACTCAGCTTGTTTTCTATATCTATATGTATTTGTGTGTGTGTATATATGTATGTGTGTGTGTATATATATGGTTTTCAGTTTCAATTTCATAAGGCCACATTATGTTTTTATATTATAAATGCCAATTTTAAAACATTTTCTTCTGGTTTCTGTAGTAAGTTATCTTCAGAAATGTGCTCTTTTTCTTAGTCTTCCGGGTGATGCTCTGTTCCCTTATTCTTTTATGGTGAATGCTGTTTTTCCATAGGCTTCATGAGGATTCCCTCTCCTATATCCCCTCTTCCGCCTGGCACATTGTTTACCTTTAAGCAAGTAGAGCTCCTTGGAGCCTTGGTGCTTGCTTGCTAAAAGAGGAAGTGTAGATTGTGCCGATTGTCCTTGGCTTTGCTCACTGCCCTATTCCTAGGTCTGTAGCTGAAGGGCAGTTGTGGTGCACAACTCCCCAGAATTGAAGGGCATTCATCTTGTGCAGCCCTGCTGAACTGGCATAGGATCTCCCCCTACCTCTTCTGCCCATTCTCTAACAACCAGAACTGATGGGGGATGTGAAAATCTTACTCTCCAGCACAAACTACCTTTGTGCTTCCTATAAGGCATGCTATGTGGAGAAAATGCCTTCCAAAACATGACGTGCCATTGGTAATCCTCTTCCACTTCCTGCTCTGTGGTTTCCCAGTAATTGCATTCTATGAATGGATGTAGATTGAGGGAGAGGTAATAGTTCTCTGGCTCCTGCAAAGAATAGCAGTCATAATAAAGAGCCAGGTTTTCATTTGACTTGGTCCTGGGTCTCTGAACTGGAGGTAGAAAGTAGGAGAGAAAGAAAATGTCTATCATCTTTCAAGACGATGGTGCTCTTCCGTTTTCTAAGAAGCAGCACGGACTGTTTGTCTCAATGCAGCTCAGCTTTAGCAGCTTTATTTAGTTAGTAGGAATTCCTTCTAGATTCTGGTAACAGGTGGTTAGTCTTCATTTTCATTATTGTTGTGACTTTTTGTCATTTTTCTGTATGATAAATAATTTAGGGAGAAGTTTGGAGATCCTTTGTCAGGAACTTCTAGCCAAATGCCATTTTAAACTCTAAGTGGACCTGATTTTATTTTACTTAAAAAAATTAGGTCTGGGAATGAGTTCAGTTTACTTATTCGTCATGTTCTGCTTGCCTTAAGCCGCTTACGAAGTGTCCATGGGCTCCAAGGTTGCCCTCCAATGCTTTTCTAAATCTCATTGTTGCCTGCACCTTTGGAGGAGGCAGGGTGAGCGAGACCTTTTTTGGTAGCGTGTAGCCATGCCAAGCAGTCATCAGATGGTGGGTAATTTCTTTTACCTAGGGTCTCATTCAAGATTCTTTGGTTGTTAATAATAGAAACCAACTACAGCCAGTTGCAGGGGAAGGGAAAAGAGTACACTGTGATACTGGGATATCTTACAAGATCCCGGGACAATTGGGCCTTTTAAGAGGTGGGACCGGGAGCTCTGAAGCTGCTAGGAGCCCATAGTCCTTGTTCATTCTCTTCCTCTGCATCCTGTAAAAGAAACATTAATTGCAAACAAAGTCCTGTTCAGGGTGTACATGTGACTTTGCTCTTCACGTGCATGCTGTAAAATGGATGCCTCATAGCTCCTGAGTTTTCCTCTTGTTTATCCAAGTAATCAGCTCAGATTGATTGGATGCCTCTAAGTCTTAATTTCAGACTCCCAGGGAGAGAGAGAATTGGATGGGCTTGGGTCATGTGATCACCCTAGTCCAGTCGATATGGATGTGTGTCTGTGTATGAGATGGTACAAGCATGACTACTGGCAGTTGTCAGAGAATGGGGCTTATTGTGAGCTGGGCAAGTCCCTGCCACCCTTGGCTTTTGGAATCAAACCCCCTAGACCCAATCCTAAAGTGAGCAGGAGTTCTTGGCCATGCGTTCCTTGGGCAGAGTGGAGCACTCGTCTTCCCGTTATGCTGTGGGGTCTTGGGGGGCGCTCGTGAAGAACTGTTGAGTAATTTATAAGACTGCACACCTGCATCTCCAGCTGACTCCCATTACAGTTTCCTTGGCGTTGTTCCCACTCCCCTCTAATCAGAAAGACTCTTTAATGAGAGATCCACATTTTGCAAACTTTCTTTCTAGCAGAGACATTATTTGGAAACCAAAGCCTTCCTTCAGTTCTAAAGCAGGACCAATCAAAGTGGACATGGCCCTTCTGCCACCATTACTTTTTTCTATGCAGATAGAAATGGAAATAGGTTTTTCATAGATACATGCAATGGCATTCCGCAGAAATTAGCAGTGTAGGGAGAACACTGGCCTAGGGGTCAGAAGTTCGGATTTTGTTCTTGACACTGCCTTTCATGTAAAACTTAAAGACTTTGGGCAATTTTACAAATCAATCCAAATCTCAGTTTTTAAATTAATAAAATGGGGATAATATTTTCTTTGTTTATCATCTTATCAAGTGCTTTAAATATGATCAAATTTCTATAAATAGAAGATATTCTTTATTACATGCCTTTGCATGGACTATTCGTCACTTTCTAACAAAATTCCAATGGTTAATAGAGATTTGAGGTTTGACAGCAGCAGGAGAGGTGGGAACATAGAAAGAGTGATTAAATAATCCTTCTAATCATATAAGGTAAGTTAGAAGCAGAGCTGGGGTGAAGGCTTAAACACAGGTCTTCTCCAGGTCCCCGTTTTTTCCAGCAGACCCTCCTGTCTCAGTTTGCAGTTGGCCCGTCCTGATCTGACATAAAAGAGGAGACTCCATGTTGAGATCCAACCACGGCGCTAGGCCCTGCCCACATGATAAATGTCTGTGCATATCCTGGACAAGACTTTTAGTTAAAAGTGCTGACTGCTTTGTAAATCTGTACGCCTGGGAGATCAGACCTGTTGGCGTTTTCTCCTCTTCCTTCAGTGTGTCACGGGGGTGGAGGGGGAGGTGAGAAGAACTGCAGTAGGCAGGGTCTCAGCAGAAGTGAGGCAGGTCTCGGGGGTGATTTTCTCCTCTGTGCCTTCTGGGGACTTTGTGGGGTGAGATAGGGTTAAATTAAACGACAAAATCTGAAGAAATGAGGCCTCACTTCCTTTGGTTTTGAAGCAGCAGAGGAAATATGACAGGAAAAGCAAAAAGAGTAGGTAGCACTGTTAGAGCCCGTTCTAGTTTACAGGGGCGTGGCATTCATGGGTGCTGGGCCACTGATCTTCACAAGCAACCCTGTGGGCTGGATTTTGTTATTGTCACTGTAATCTGGACAAGGGTCTGGATAACAAGTCCAGCCAAGGTTAAGAACCACTGCTCTCTGCTTTCCCCAAATTCATGGCAGGGGACAAGTTACCTTCTGACCTATTGCTTCTCAAACTTTAATGTGCATAAGAAATACCCGTGGCTGTTGTTAAACATCAGATTCTGAACCGGGAGGTCTGGGAGGGCCTGAGATTCTGCATTTCTCATCAGCGACCAGGTGATGCTGCTGGTCCTGGAACCGCCTTCGAATATCTAGGTAATCTGACCAGTATACCTCCCTGATATTGACCGCCTGCAGGGCTGGGTATCACCTGACCCAGGGTCCCCACCTGTGCTCAGGTGGCCTCTCCCCTTTCCACATGGCCCCCCTGCCTTTCTCCCCATCCTCTTTGTATTAGGGTCCTCCAAGGATCCCATGACAGGCCTTCTGCAAGATGGGGAATGAGAAAAGCTGGTAACTTGGCTTAGTCCAAATCTGAAATCTCAAAACTGGGAAGGAGCAGGCAGGTAAGCCCACACTTGGAGCCACAGCCCCAAGTCTGAGGCTGAAGACCTGAGAGCCCCCCGGCAGGCTGATGGCGCAAGTCCCAGAGTCAGAAGGCCAGAGGGCCTGGGGTCTGACGTCCGTCCGAGGGCAGGAGGAGTGAAAGCAAAGCATCCCGTGTGGGAAAGGAGAGAGAGGGGAGGGGGCGGGGGAGAGGAAGCTCAGTAAGCTGAATATGCCGCCGTCCTCTGCCTGCTTTGCTCTGGCCGTGCTGGCAGCCGACTGGATGGTGTCCTCCCCATTGAGGGTGGGTCTTTCTCTCCCAGTCCACTAACTCCCAAGTTCACATCATCCGAAAACACCCCCACAGACATACCCAGAAACAATGCTTCACCAGCCACCTCGGCCTCTCTCAGTCCAGTCAAGTGGACAGCTGGTATTCACACTCACATTCCCCAGCCGCGCTGGTGTGGGACTCCGCCCGTTTGTGTGGTTGCACCCTGAGCCGAGGCGCCTCTTCCCTCCCACCACTGGGTTTGCTCCTGTGGCTTCCGGACTGGGCTTCCTTCCAGCACTGCTTCTGGTGCCAGGGCCGGTGCCTTCCAGTTGCCCCATTTGTTGATGTCAGCCCAGTTCTAA